CTTCAGGAGATTAGCGATCCTTATGGAAGCTTGAGGATAGATGATTCTCATGGTATCTTGAGAATAGAGACATGGATAAAGTCATTGAAGGTGGCAACGTCTAAGAGTACGAGAAAAACTGTAGGAAACACTTTGGATATCCAGCGGTCGACTGCACGTTGATGCCGCGGTCGACGAGAACATGCACAGCTCAGGAAAAGTCTCTGGACTTTTCACAGTCGACCGCGATGGGTTCTGCGGTCAACCGCCAAACCCTGTATTCGATACTGAGTTTCTGTTGTTCTGTCTGGTTGATTGCACGTGTCTCTAAGATCGACCGCGAGTCAGGCTGGGCCAGACTTCCAGTTCCTGTTCGCTTTAGGTTTTGTGTTTGATATATATTAAAATACGACTTTTCTAGGGGTTTCTAACTAGATTAGATTCAGAAATGAGATTAGGGAGATTGTTCTTTGATCTAGAGAGATTGTGAGAGAGGGATTTGTAATCTATTATTTCTCATAATCTAGAGATGGTATTTTCCTTTGCCCAACTCAATTCTTTGTGTGTTTTTCTATTGTCTTCTTCACAACCCACTCTTGATAAATTCCGTGATCAAGGGTGCTCGTTCAATGACTCGTATAATCTGGTCTTGTACAATTAGCAAGATACATTAGTGCAATAGAAGATACATTAGTGAACCTATTGCACTAAGATATGGTACTTCAGGACCAAGAATCTCTTCATCTTACTCTTTTGGTCTAAAAGGATCCTTAGAAGGATCAAGTGACCCGACGACCATTGGGGTACTTAATAGATGTGCTTTATCCATGTAGAACCGCTTTAATACCTTTTGGGTATAAGCAGTTTGGTGAAGAAAAATCTCATTTTCTAAATGCTCAATTTTTAAACCAAGGTAAAATTTGGTTTTCCCAAAATCTTTGATCTCAAATTCTTTCTTCAAATATTCAATCGCCTTTTGGAGCTCTTCAGGAGTTCCAATAAGATTAAGGTCATCAACATATACAACAATGATCACAAAATTTGACCCATTCCTTTTTATGAAAACACATGGACATATAGGATCATTTGTATAACCTTCTTTGACTAAACATTCACTAAGGCGGTTATACCATATTCGTCCAGATTGCTTGAGTCCATCTGAGTCCATACAAAGATCTTTGCAACTTAATGGAGTACATTTCTTTAGGATTTGATTTACATGCTTCAGGCATCCTAAATCCTTCAAGGATTTTCATATAGATATCATTATCTAATATTCCATGTAAATAAGTAGTGACTACATCCATCAGATGCATATCAAGTTTTTCATGTACTGCTAAACTCACAAGATATCTAAATATAATTCCATCTATTACTAGAGAATATGTCTCATCATAATAAAATCCCGGTCTTTGTGAAAATCCTTGGGCTACAAGTATTGCTTTATATCTCACAATTTTATTTTTCTCATTTCTTTTCCTCACAAATACCCATTTATATCCTACTGGATTTACACCTTCAGGTGTTTAGACTACAGATCCAAAAACTTTTTGTTTAGACAGTGAATCTAATTCATATTGGATCGCATCTTTCCATTTTGACCAATTATTTTTTCGTCGATATTCATCAACTGATTTGGGTTCATGATCCTCGTCTTATTCCATAATATCAAGTGCTACATTATATGCAAATGCATTATCGACAATTACTTCTCTTTGGTTCCAACTCTTTCTCGTAATGACAAAATTTATTGAATTTTCTATAGTTTTATCCTCTTCAGGAGTTGGCTCTTCAGGAGCGACCTCTTCAGGAGGTTGAATTTTGTCATTAGCAATATTTTGATCACTCGATCCTCTTTTTTTCTAGGATTCTTATCTTTGGAATCAATAGGTCTACCACGTTTCAGGCGTGCTTTAGATTAGTTAGCACTTTTAATTTGTCCTTCTGGGATATCAATTTTAATCGGAGCATTTTCTACTAGAATATGTGATTTAGTAATTCTTCTAGAATCACTAAAAGCATCCGGTAATTGGTTTGTAATTTTCTATAAATGTATAATCCTTTGAACTTCCAGTTCACATTCTTTTGTACGAGGATCAAGAAAGTCTAATGATATTTTTCAAGTAATTTCCTTTTTCGGTTGATCTTTACCTCCCCCTAATGTCGGGAAATGTGATTCATCAAAATGACAATCTACAAATCTTGTAGTAAATAAGTCACATGTTAATGGTTCAACATATTTAATTATAGAAGGTGATTCATACCCGACATATATCCCTAATCTTCTTTGAGGGCCCATTTTAGTACGTTGAGACGGTGCAATAGGAGTATATACCACACAACCAAAAATTCTTAAATAAAAATATTAGGCTCGTGGCCAAGAACTAATTGTAAGGGAGAATAATTATGATAACTTGTTGGCCTAATTCTCACAAGTGTTGCTGCATGTAATATAGCATGTCCTCAAGCAGATAGAGGAAGTTTAGACCTCATTAACAATGGTCTTGCAATTAATTGAAGCCTTTTAATAAAAGATTCAGGTAGACCATTTTGTGTATGAACATGAGCTATAGAATGTTCAACACTTATTCTAATGGATATGCAATAATCATCAAAAACATGTGATGGATATTCACCAGCATTATCTAAACGAATTTTCTTAATAGGATAATCAGGAAATTATGCTTGCAATTTAATTATTTGAGCAAGCAATCTCGCAAACGCCAGGTTGTGACTAGATAATAAACATACATGTGACCATCTTGTTGATGCATCAATTAGCACCATAAAATATCTAAATGGTCTACATGGTGGATCTACAAGCCCACATATATCACCATGAATTTGTTATAGAAATATAGGGGATTCAGTTCCCACTTTCGTTGGTGATGAACTAACAATTAACTTCCCTTGGGAGCAAGCAACACATAAGAATTCATTGATTTTTCAATGAATGGCCATGTAAACTTGCAATTATTCGCCTCATCATTATAGAACCAGGATGTCCAAGGCGATCATGCCAAGTCATAAAATTATTAGGATTAGTAGACTTCCGGTCTATAAGGTGATAAATTTCAGCTGCACTTATTTTTGTATAATATAAACCAGAAGATAAAGAAGATAGCTTTTCTAATACGCATTTCTTCTCAGAAATGATATTTGTAATCAATAAGTATTCACCATTTGTCTCATTCATTGTCTCGATATGATATCCATTTCGGCGGATATCTTTAAAACTTAGTAAATTACTTCGAGACTTTATCGAGAGTAGTGCATTATTTATGACAATTTTAGTTCCTTCGGGGAGAAATACAGTGGCTCTTCTAAAGCCATCAATCAATTTAGCACTACCACTTATTGTGTTAACATTTGTTTCTTCCATTTTCAAATAAGAAAAATACTTCATGTTTTTAAGTATAGTGTGTAGTAGCGCTATCAATGAGATAAATATTATTATCACCATTGTTTGATCCCAAATATTTGGCATCCATTTCTTTTTCAAGAAGAAATGACAAAGAAAATTACAAACAAAAGTAAATATCAATAAAGTTCATAAATTATAAAATTCATAAAGAAAATTACATAAAAGATGCGAAAATAACAAAATTCAAAATATCGGGTATTTGTCATGAGATCATTTCATAACTTCAGGTTGCTCAAGGAAATCAGCTACATCGAGGTGTATGATATCATCAAGATCATCATAAACATTGTTTTGAATATGAAATTTGTCTCGACATTTTTGCCTTTCCCTTTTAATGATGCCTGATAGAGATCAACAAGATGTTTTGTCGTATGATGGGTACGGGACCAATGACCTTCTATTCCACACCGGTATCATATTTCCTCATAATGTTTCTTTTCTTCAATTTTCTTATCATTATTGTCCCACTTTTGGGAGTTGTTTTGTCTTTTGCCACGGTTATGATCATTGTGATTATAAGGCATATATCTGCCACGACCTTGTCCACGATAACGGCTACGTCCTCGGCCTCCTCCACGGCCATGTCCACGCCCACGACCATGATTTTGAGATTGAGTTGCATTCACTTCAAGGAATGGGCTAGCACCAGTAGGTCGGGATTCATGATTTTTAATAATAATTCATTATTTTGTTCAGCCAAAAGGAGGGATGAAATCAATTCGAAGTATTTCTTAAATCCTCTCTCTCGATATTGCTGCTGCAGGAGCATATTCGAGGTATGAAAGGTGGAGAATATTTTTTCTAACATATCGTCATGAGTGACATTTTCTCCACACAATTGCAATTGAGAGGTAATTTTATACATTGCAGAATTATACTCACTGATTGATTTAAAATCTTGTAGCCTTAAGTGAAGCCAGTCATACCGGGCTTTTGGGAGCACGACCAACTTCATGTGGTCAAATCTCTCCTTCAAATTATTTCCACATAGAAAGTGAATCTTTCACAGTTAGATATTCAGTTTTTAATCATTCATCCAAATGATGGCCAAGGAAAATTATAGCTTTGGCAAGATCTTGATTTGATGTCTCATTTTCTTCCACAATAGTATTTTCAAGACCCATTGCAGCAAGATGTATTTCAACATCTAACATTCAAGATAAGTAGTTCTTTTCAGAAATATCAAGACACATAAATTCTTGTTTTGTAAGGTTAGTCATAGTGAAAAATGAATTGAATTGGAAAGAGAAATTTACCTCAAAGGTGTACCCAAAATATGAACACGTGCCTAACGATGAATCTAATGAACTTGAAATGGATTGTTTCAATGGTAGAGTCTCGTGCTGATAACGTGTTGTAAAACTAATAAAGTAGAGTAGAGAAAGTAGACAAGAAGTAGAAAGAATTTTATTTCTTCAATTTCTCATTTCAAAGTGAGGTAGGAATACCTCTATTTATGCACAATCTAAGATGATGATACATGAATCGTATTAATTACTCATAGAGAATATCAAGGAATAATACATGTATCAATCTCTTTAGAAAACTAAATAGACATCCACATTATTTAATTGTTTCATAACGCTCCCCTAATTTTTTTTCAAAAATATTAACCCTGGCCCTCGATGATTTCTTTTTTACTCATTTAGCTCTTGGGGCCTGTTTGTCAAAAAACAATTTGTTTCTCATGACGCAACGACGAATCTCAGCCGCCTTCGCAGCGTCCACCCACCTCCTCCGAACCCGAGCCCGAGCTCTCCCCACCAACTCCAAACATTGCAGCTCCTCTCGATCAACCGACGAGGACGACGACGACGAGGTGAGGCTCGACGGCGGAGCCAGGTTCCAACTCCACAAGAGCAGAGGGCAGCACATCCTCACCAACCCAAGAGTCCTCGACTCCATCGTCAGGAAAGCTGAGGTATTTCCCACCGACACCGTGCTCGAGGTCGGGCCCGGCACCGGTAACCTCACCGTGCGGTTACTGGAGTCGGCGAAGAGGGTTGTTGCTGTCGAGGTCGACGGGGGCGGATGGTCGGCGCGCTGAGGAAGCGGGTTGAGGGGCTCGGACTGCAGGACAGGCTCACTGTGAGTTTTGCCCACCACCTGTTTGGTTTAATTCCTCGCTAACAGGATGTTCCCTTTACTTTACTTTAATTGGCGGACAATGTGACATTGGCACTTTGTGAAGCCCTGTTGAGTCTTACCGCTTGTTGCACATCAATCGCCAGAAATTGATGCTTTCTACGGATTTTACTGCGTGTAGTCATGTGCAGTGCTTGGTAGACTGAAAGAACGTTGCACCTTGTCTGGGTTAGAGGAGATTTTGGATTGAGGAGGACATTCAAAGGACCCCCTACATTAATAAGTTGGCAATTGATTGTATACGAGATATGGAGCCACCCCCCCCCCCCCCCCTCGCGGGGCGAAGACGTAGATCTCATCATCTAGGAATGTCAAGTTATATTTTGGGCCTCCATTGTCAAACGTAAAAAATTAGTTGAGCTTAAATTTCTCAAAACTCTCCTAAAGTTTTTGGGTGTCATCTACAAACACCTTAAACTTGAGAAGGGTTCTCAATTTAAAATAGTTTTGTGTGGGGAGGGGAGGGTGGGGGGGGGGGAGGTTGGTTCTGAGCTTCCCTCGATAGTTGAGGGTTTTTTTTGCTTCTAAAATTAACCCTTTTTAAAAGGACAAAATTTTAAAATAAGAGCTTTTCAAAAAAAGTCAATTTTGATCTACTTGCAAAATATTTATCAAAATCGACCTAGTTTCAGCCATGTCAACAAAACTGGTTCAATTTTGATAAAAAAACCTTTTCAAACTCCACAGGATTGGCAATCCCTAAAGTTAAATTGTGTCTTAAACTCTCAGGGATTCCCAATCCTGTAGAGCTTATGAATTGTTTTTTTCCAAAATCAACCTAGTTCCCAAAATATTTATCAAAATCGACCTAGTTTCAGCTAACGTGACAGAAAGTAGGTCTATTTTGATAAATATTTTTGGACTAGGTCTATTTTGATAATGTTTTTTTTGGGAATAGGTTTAATTCAAAATTTTTTCCTTTTTAAAATTATATTAAACCCCCTTGAACTATTGGGAAATCTCATAAATGATGCGTTAACGGATAGAGTAATAAGTTTGAAATATGACAAATCAAAATTTGTGATGAAAAAGTTGAATGATTAACATTCATGTGGGTGAATGACACAACAATCAAGTCATAGTTTTAGACTTTTAACTCTACTCGTTAGTGCCATTTATGAGATTTTTCAATATTTCAAGGGGTATACTATAGCTTTCATAGTTTTTTCATAGTTTCAAGGGGCGTGGTTTCTTTGATTTATACAGTTTGGAGTTTTTTTTTGTTTTTTATTTGGGGGAGGGGGTGGGGGGAGGGGGGTA